GCTACATCCGGGCAGCTCAACTGTAAGTCTAGTGCTGCACTTAAATTTTAAAAGTCCAGGTACCATAACGGAGAACACATACGAACAATTACCATATTTATAGAAAAGACACAGAGAAGCAACCTTACGGCGGTTGGAAAGCCGAGCCTACAGATCAGGACCAATAATATTGCAGAGTCTTCTTTGGGTTTTATCAAGGAGCTCAACGTAAATAGCAGGGACACCGGACCATATGTGACAGCAATATTGTAAGCATGGGCGAATGGTAGACTTATAGACTACTAGTGGAAATAAAGCAATTGAAATTAAGACGAAAGAAATACTAGTCAAAAATGAATAATGGCCGACAATGTTTCATCTAATAATAAAATTTAAGATAATATCACTATTCCTAATACTATTCGTAGAAATAAAGCAAATCAAAACTGACATGAAAGAAATACGAGTCAATAATGAATAATGTTGACAATGCTTCATCTGCGAATCAAAATAATATTACTACTACTAATTCTACTAATGCAAATAAAGCAACTGAAATTAAGATGAAAGAAATACTAGTTAAAAATGAATTATGGCTGACAAAGTTTCATATAATAATAAAATTTAAGATAATAATACTATTAATACTACAACTCGTGGAAATAAAGCAATTTAAATTAAGATGAAAGAAATACACATAAAAAATGAATAATGGCTGACAATGGTCCATCTAATAATAAAGTTCAAGATATTACTACTACTAATACTACTTGTGGAAATAAAGCAAGTGAAATTGGCATGAAAGAAATACAAGTCAATAATGAATAATGTTGTCAATGCTTCATCTGCGAATTAAAATAATATTACTACTACTAATGCAAATAAAGCAATTGAAATTAAGATTAAAGAAATTCACGTAAAAAATGAATAATGGCTGACAATGGTCTATCTAATAATAAAGTTCAAGATAATATTACTACTACTAATACTACTTGTGGAAATAAAGCAAGTGAAATTAAGACGAAAGAAATGCTAGTCAAAAATGAATAATGGATTGAAAATAGTTCATCTCATAATATATTATTGACCGCAAATAGACGGCGAAAACAGTTGCACTAAAAAGTAATTAATTGTTAAACGGAGAGTTTATCGCGTTCATTCTCAGCCAAACTTCGCCGAATTATATGGAACCTATATGAATTTTTTCTTACGGGTATATATATATATATATATATATATATATATATCGGAAACACATAGAAGCCTGACTCAATCAAATATTTCGATTTCATTTTTCCCCCGCCGATGGGTACGAGTTTGACGACATATTCTTCAAAATACAACAAAAAAATGATCACTTATCTCGTTTGCTTCGCACTCTTTTGACGCTAATGAAAAGTCGTATCTCGTATTAATCAATCAAACGATGGAGGCTATTCGATTTGGAAATGGAAGTCTCTCGAGCCGGAAACTAGTCAAGATGACGTCATCATTTAACTCACAACCTTAAGGTGACATTCATCTGACGTTGATCTTTGATTTAAACTGTATTACACAATGAAGAAAAAAAATTGAAGTTTTTTTTTTACCTTTTTTTTATTCTTTTAAAATGGATCGGCCAGATCAAGTCGGTCAAAACTCGGATGGATGTAGATATTTTGTTACCTTCTGTTTCTATGGAAACGTTACAGACAAAATATTCGTAAATAAAACTGCATCGACAATATATATATATATATATATATATATATATATATATATATATATAAATATAAATATATATATGGTATATATATATTATATATATATATGGCATACATATATTTATAAATATAGATATATATTTATATATAAATATATATATCCATATATATTTTAAAGAAAAGAACAGACCACTTTAAGGCTCCATTATAATAATTTATTTCACCAGAGCCCCTTTTAAAGAATGCCGGATCATCAGATAGCACTTCCAAAAGATGAAACGAAATATATATATATATATGCCATATGTATAAATATATATATGGCATATATATATTTGTATATACATATGGCATACATATATTTATAAATATATATATATATATATATATATATATATATATATATATATATATATATATATAGGCTGATCAAAATCTAACTTGTGTCGATAGTTGAGTGAAATTGGTAATATTAGAATTAAATTCAGCGTGAAAAGATTTTAAAAAGTAACAATCTATTTTAAGCGTGTAATATGATGAATGCGAAAGAAATACACCCGAGAAATTTTCCATGTCGACAGAGGAGAGAAAGCTACAATGTATAAAACGTGTAAGGATCCGTAGTATTAACCTTTTAAGCCTTGCGTTCCTGAACAATTTTAACTCATTTTCCTGAGCCACTAGTCAAAATTCGCAAATAATTGCTATGTAATAAAAATAGTTACAAAAAATATAAGCATTATACTAAGCAGGGAGAGAGTATGATTGCATGTCTTCACTTTATCGCCAGAATTCTTTCTTTGTGTCCCAATCTACTCAAATAAGACAACTAAGATTGCTTCTTTTTAACTTTTAAGTCCTGCGTCCTGAACAATTTTAATTCTTCTGCCTGTGCTCCTGAGTCAAAAATCGCAAATAATTGTTATGAAATGTTTGACAGTAGATATAAAAATAGTTACAAAAAATATAACTTTCTGATTGCTTCCCTGAGTCCAGGTTGAGACTTCACGCCTTTCATAGTAAAAACGATTTTTTTAAATCCAAACACATGCAGAAAACACAATGAAAAGGCGCAGCCATGTTGGTATAACGTTCGATGGCAATATTACGGCTTTTCTGATTGGCTCTTTAAAATAAGACAACGACTAGCAAAAAACAATGCAAGTGTTTACCCACCGTTCAATGGGTGGCTGGGAATTACGTCATTTTTCTCTACCACCGGTAAAGCGTTAGCCAGGCCTCAAAGAGTTAAAATATGGGGCAAGATCGGCATTGATCGGCATTGATCGGTGAAAAGAAACAACGAATGACAAAAATCAGGTTGAAAAAGTGATGCTGTCAAGTATAGATAATTCCGAGAGAGACAAGATTAATGACATAAAAAACCTCAGCAGTGAAATACTGAAAGATCTCTAGGTTTACCTTTCTCGCGATGCAAAACAAAGTAGGTGTAAATGAGTACAAATTCTATTGAGCAAATAGCTTAATGAGACACATAACAAAATTAGGATTCTAATCAATAGAGATCGTAGAAAGTAGGACAAAAACGTCGTCCCATAAGTAGCGTTGTTCAACACATTGGGACATGAAATACCATCTTTAGGATCAGTATGCTATCAGAGCGAACAATTCAAATACAGAAAGATCTATACGTATGCTTCATATTTGTTATGGGGTCCACCCCTTTTTCATACAAGTAGACTCAACCAGTGTGTACTTGGACTGCTGTCGTTAAATACCCAGAGTCAGTCAGAATATGGAGAGAGTGAGCAGAGATTGTGATTGAGTTGGAGGTAGAGTAATAGTGTGAGGTAACCGCTTGTAGAAGTCACAGTTACAAGCACGTAGACTCTAAGGAAGTCTTACATCAAGACTGAATTTACCAGACTGTATATATATATTATTATTGCTACTAACCGTGTTTCTGGATTTACTAACCGTATTACCAATTGTATTATTGTGTAAATACATTTATTTGTTATATTTCATGCTTGCTTTTGTCATTCATTGGAGACCGAATTTCATCTCGGAATCCACAACAATATTCATATATTAAAAATAGTTTTATAGCTTCCAACACAAAGATCTATTAAAAAACAACAAGAAAAAATTGATTTACACGGAAACAATATTTACGTAATTCTTAACTTTTTGAAATTAATCAGTTCACACCAAACAAGACAATAAAGCCACTAAGACGCAATATATTACTGAGTGTATGAAAAAAAAAGAAAATTATTATTGGGGTAGAAAACGCTAAAAAAAATTAAGAAGACAGACGATAACGATTGATATTGCATTTAAATTTCTGAAGATCAAAGTTGGCTGGAAACCAAGAAGCCAGAAGAGAGTTCCACAAGCGAGAAGTGCGGGAGAAGAAACTGTTAGCATAGAACTTTACATCTAGCCATTTCAACTGTAAAATTAATGAGACCTTGCCGTCAAAATTAGTACTGCGCTTAAATTCATAAAGTCTAATACCAAAAAAGAAAACAGATCAGAACAATTACCATGAAAATATTTATAGAAAAGGCAGAGGGAAGCTACCTTACGGCGGTGACTAAAGCCGAGATGCCAGGTTCGAATCAATAACATTACAGATTCTTCTTTGTATGTATATTATCGAGAATCTCTGAATAGATAGCAAAAGCCCCAGATCAAATGTGACAGCTGTATTCAATGCATGAACGAATGGTAGGCTTATAAATGTGTAATATTGATTTACCAAGCAAGGCAATAAAGCCACTAAGATCACAAGATGTTACTGTAAGAGAATATGAAAAAAAATTAAGTAGTTGAGAGAACACTATAAGAAGAGGAATACTGTAGAATATTTTGTTTTTCAAGAATTTCAAACAACAATTATTTTCTGTACTTTGAGAATCTGTTTGATGGCTGCGAATGGTAGGCTTATAAATGTGTAATATTGATTTACCAAGCAAGGCAATAAAGCCACTAAGATCACAAGATGTTACTGTAAGAGAATATGAAAAAAATTTCTGTACTTTGAGAATCTGTTTATCTCCACGTGATTAGTATGTAAGTTTGATACAAAGCCACAACTCGGATCCCCGCACGGATAAATGCAGGTGGTGTCAAATATTGTCCAGCTTCCTCGGCACTTCCCTTTTCGGGTTATTTAGTCACTCATCAGAAACTGAGTGCCCCTCTTCCTTGAAACGCTACGGCGGAAGCCCTGCCTTGGTCCGCCAGTATCCTTCCATCCAAACCTCGGAACTGGAATTTGGTTAATTTCCTTCTCACTGCAGGTTACCATTTTTTTATACGGACGATTGAATCATGTCTTTAACGTGCTTGATGTTATTCACAACTCTTCGACCGTTACGCTCTTCAGCCCCGGCCAGGGGTATAATTGATGAGAAAAAGGAAAACCTTTCTCAAAATCCTGTGGTTTTTACATAGCAAAATAGCTGTCAGGGAAACTATACCAGTTTGTATCTTCAAATACCATTTTTATATATATATATATATATATATATATATATATATATATATATATATATATATATGTTTGTAACTGACAGATTTGCTTTAGATATTAATGTGAGCATTTTTTGTTTGTTTCTAGGCCTTTTGGTTCTGAGAAGCGCAAAATGACCTGTTCCAAACCCAAAGGGCATATCACCTCAGGCAATACCCGCCGTCGGGATATGCTAGAATAACTTTCAAGCGACTGTGGTGTCCGGAAAAAGGGGAACGGATTAATTACCTTTGTTTTCTGCTCCCAGGTAAACTCGGTATTATGGTGCAATCAGTTCGAATGGGCGTACGGGTAAATAGCGTTTCTTGGCCTCTATTTGAAGCCAGAAGCACAAAGTGATTAAGTCCTGTTGAAGATCAAGCGGACCCACTAGAAACTTAAAAAAAAGAAGAGGGTCACATTCACTCTCTGAAGCTAGAGTTGTTCTAAAAGCAAAGTATCGAAGAAATTATTATAATTATTATTATTATTATTATTATTATTCTCTCATCTTGTATCAGGTTGCACGATACTATCACCCACTGAATATAAAACCGGGCATGACAGAGTTGGCCAGTATTTGCATTGGAAAATCTGTAACTTCTAAGGGAAGGAAACTGAAAGAAATTGCTATGAACACCACCCAGACCCGGTTACGGAGATTAGGACCTGTTACAATTTTATGGGACTACACAATACACACAGACAGAACAATCAAAGCTAACCACCCAGACATTGTTATTAGAAACCACAAACAAAAAAGTGTCTCCTTATTGATATGGCAGTACCTGCAGACTGTAATGTATCTATGAAGATATTCAAAAAGCTATTCAAATACAAAGACCTTGAAAGCGAAATCTCAAAAATGTGGAACATGGGAACATCAACAATCCCCGTTGTAGTTGGAGCCCTCGGATTGGTTTGAAAAGATTCCAATAGACACATTAAAGGAATTCCTTAAAGAAATACAAAAAATTGTTCTCACAAGTACAGCCCACACCTTTTGAAGGGCTTTGTCTATTTAATTTTTTTTCCAGTGGAAAATGTCATGATGCCCGGAAAGAAATGAGTACACATCAGAAATCAAAGGAAATAAAATGAAGATAATAATAATAAAAATGTATCATACGTATTTTTTTTACAGACCATTACGCCAAAACTGTATAAATCGCTGGTCGTCTCCATTCTCTCATATGGATGTGAAATGTGGATAATGTTGGCTGATAGAGAGAGAAGGATCCAAGCATTTGAGAACAAATTCATAAGAAAACTCCTTGGCATTTTCTATCAGGAACAAAAAACAACAAAAAAAACAATGAATTTGTACGGAAAAAAGGTTGAAAGTTTTGTGCGACACCAGGAACCTCTTCTCACCACAGACAAACGTAGAAAAATGGCGTGGTTTGCACACATTATAAGACACGGAGCCTATTCGAGACCATCATGCAAGTCACCGTTGAAGGTGGACGTAGGAAAGGATGTCAACGTATAAACAGGTAGGGGAATGTGAAACAATGGACAGGTATGACTGTACCAGAATTGCTGATGGCAGCCGTTGATAGACCAGTGTGGAAAAGAATTAGTGTGGCTCCTGCATTTGGATCCCCCCTACAACTACAAAAGTCAGGATGATGATGATGATGATGATGATGATATCTATCTATCTATCTATCTATCTATCTATCTATCTATCTATCTATCTATCTATCTATCCGTGTCTGTTCAGTATCTCTCTATCATTACGAGACGCGGTAGCCTGTGCAAGACCATCGTGCAAGACCATCGTGCAAGAACATCATGCAATGCACAGTTGAAGGTGGAGGTAGGGGAGGACGCCAACATAAAACTGGTTGGACAATGTCAAACAGTGGAAAGGTACGACTGTACCAGAATTGCTGATGGCTGCCGTTGATAGACCGTTGTGGAGGAGATTTAGTATGGCTTCTGATTTCAGATCCCCTCCTATGATTACAAAAGTCAAGGAGATGATGATGGTAACAAAACTTATTTCATTACACACATCCACACTCGATGACACATCATCATTACTGTTTATTATTATTATTATTATTATTATTATTATGATTATTATTATTATTATTAATTCCTTTGATTTTTATTGTATATCTATTTCCTTCCGGGCCCCAACCAGAGACCTAAGAAATGGCACCAAGGCATTTCCCACTGATATTCTTTTGTAACAAACAAAATGAAAAGTAAAGCGACTTAAGACATATTTTACATAAATAAAACGTAATGTGTGAACTGTACTTGTGGGAACAACTTTTTTATTTATTTATTTATTTAAGGAATGGGCTACCCGGGATCCTTTCAATGACTTTATCAGTACCTTTTCCAATCAAATCCAGGGCCCTAAAAACATCTATAATTATTGATATCAGCATTTAAGATCCTCGCCTCTGCTGCCATTAGGGCGAGCGGAAAATCGTAAATTTATTTTCCTTTTATTGTCAGAGCATATTTCTTTAATGTCACCAAATTGCAATAAGCTAACCGAATTGTTACTGAAACTCCTCAATTCAGTTTCGGAGAAATAATCTAGTAAAAGGCATACGCCCATTTCTCCCTGGTTTATAACCTGCTGTTATAATTTCAATCATATTCAAAACAGATAAAAAAAACAGTGCATGCCAAAAGACATTTTTTGTTGTTTTTACAAATCTTGTTTCATGTAAATATACACAGATTATCGAGAAATCAACTACATTATTATTATTATTATCATCATCATCATCATCATCATCATCATTCGATTTCTGCTATGGACACACTACCTACCAAGTCTGCGGAAAGACCTAAGGCAGGTCGTGGTGTGTTGTTATAATACATTTCATGTTAAATTTTTTTTTTTTTTTTATCTCCGATGAAGTTGCTAGCGTTACATAGACAAAGTTCTCCTTAGTGTGTGTGCTGTACTTAATAAGACAATTTTCTGTATGTCTCTTAAGCTGGGGTTTCAGGATTCTTTCAATGTGTTGTTTTGTTCCATTTTTTATAATTCCAAGTGCACCTATTACCACTGGTATTATTCTTGTTTTCAATTTCCACATTTTTCTATTTCAATTTCCAGGTCTTTGTATTTTGATAGTTTTCAAATTCCTTGGTTTGCTATGTTACAATCCGCTTATTATTATTATTATTATTATTATTATTATTATTATTATTATTATTATTATTTTTTTGATTTCTGGCGTTTACACATTTCTTCTGGGTCCCGCCTTAGGGACCTAAGGTTAGAAATGGCATCATGACACTTTCCACTGACAAAAAAAAAAAAAAAAAATGGAATTACATAGATAAAGCCCTTCGTATTATTATTATTATTATTACTATTATTATTATTATTATTATTATTATTATTATTTCCTTTGATTTCTGTTGTATACTCATTTCCGTCTGGGTCCCAACCAAAGACCCAAGGTCAGAAATGGCATCGTGTCATTTTTTCACTGAACATATTTGAAAAAATAAAACACCAGGAAGAGCATAAAACATTTTACATAAAGCTCTTCGTAAGGCGTTGACAGTACTTACGAGAACTATTTTTTGTATTTCTTTAAGGCTGTGGGATCACCAAAGATCCCTTCAATGAGTTCATCAGAACTTTTTTCCAATCAAATCGAGGGCTTCAACCACAATTGGAATTATTGATCACTTCATATACCACATTTTTTTTTAGATTTCCATTTCAAGATACTTGTATTTGGATAATATTTGAAGATCTTCAGAGATACATTACAGTCTGTCATATCAATAAGAAAGCGCATTCTGTTCTTTGTGGTCTTTGATCACGATGTCTGGGCGATTAGCTTTGATTGTTCTGTCTGTGTGCATTGTAAAGTCTCATTGATTGTTTGATTGTTCAGTCTGTGTATATGCTAAATCCCTATTTATTATTATTATTATTATTATTATTATTATTATTATTATTATTATTATTATATTGTGCATCATAAATGTATTTTACTAAGCTTTACTCCAACAATATTGCATTTACACATCCAAAAACTTGCTACGATGCTATAAAAATTATTAGGGTGTATCAAAAATATTTTCATTTTTTAAAGACCTTTACTCTAAAGCTTATTTCATGTACAAATCTGAAGATTACCTAGGATTACACAGGATTACTACAACAGTTACTACTACTACTATATATATTCATTAATAAGATTTGCTTGTACATTTTGTTTCAAATATTATAATGATAGACACGGTTATCGATATTCTATCAATTTTAAGGCATTATTTTAAACTGGGTCTCAAATCGGTGAATGGCTTTGAAAAACCAGGCAAGTGAAAAGAAATGAACCATATATGACCATATCGCCTAAAGCGGCTTTTAGCATTTTAAATGTGGTTTAATTCTCTCTTGAAATAAAGGAAAAATACAGACGACCATTATTTGTCGATTATTTTAAAGCAAAAAAAAAAAAACAAAAAAAACAAAAAAACAAAAATGGCCACTGAACTTTTCAGAAGAGCTCAGATCCTCAGAAAATACCAAATTTAGAGTATTATATGTAATTGTACAATAAAGAATTGAATAATAAAAAAAAATACTTTTGATACACCCCGAAGAATGAAAAGTGGAAAGAAAAAAATGTGACTAAAATAAAGAAGCCAACAAAAAAAAAAAATAAATAAATAAATGGAAAAAAGAATAGGAAGAATAAAAGACGGAAGTAAGAAAAAGATAAATACGTCTGCGCTCAGCGAAAAAAGGTAAATGTATCTGTTAAATTCAGGTCGAAACTCTCTGAGCAGTAAGAAACGAAAATGCGTACTGCATCGTAAAAAGAGGCGAAAAACAAATGCATTTTTTTTTAAAAAGAAGGAAATATAGGAGGGTTAAAAAGTACACAAAATAAGATTCAAAGAAGTTAAAGATACGAAGCTGTAAAGAAAAAAACTGAATTAGCAAAAATCGTTTATGACGTAAGCAGAACAAAGTTCGTCGCTTTCGCCAAAGAAAAAATAAAGAAATAAAAGTAAGTAGTCTGCATAGAATCATCAGAATAAAAAGCAGAGAATATATATATATATATATATATATATATATATATATATATATATATATATATATATATATATTTGTGTGTGTGTGTGTTTTTTTCCTGATCTGTTGGGAACATAATTTAGATGGTCATTGTGTCGTCTGCTTCCTTGACTGGACACGGACGGAAGCAGACAACGGTTTTTACCTGAATACAAGTTCATTAATGGTGACATATTTGACGATTTTTTGGTGTTGAAAGCTTTCAAAAAATCATTTGAATACTCATTGTTTTTATGAAAGGTTTTCTTTGCTTCTTTGATTTTTATGTTTTTTTTTTCTTATTGTATTCTTCTCCAGTTATTTTTCTTTCTTTTCTACGAAACCTTCTTTCTTTTTTTCCTTTCTTTCTTGCGATATTTATTTATTTATTTCAATTATGTATCTTTTCTTTCAATTATGTTATAATTTCATTTTTTCTTTTCTTTCAGCTATGTTATGCTTTCTTTCTTTCCTTCTTTTATTTTATGCTTTCTTTCTTTTTTTTTAGGTTATGTTTTCTTTCTTTCTTTTTTATTTCTTTCTTTCAGTTACGTTATGCTTTCTTTCTTTCATTCTTTCTTTCTTTCTTTTAGGTTATGCATCCTTTCTTTTTATTTCTTTCTTTCAGTTATATTAAGCTTTCAATCTTTCTTTCTTTTTTTCTTTCTTTCTTTTCTTGTTTCATTCTTTCTTTAATCTATGTTATGCTTCCTTTCTATTCCTTCCTTTCAGTTATGTTATCTTTCTTTCTTTCTTTCTTTCTTTCTTCCTTTCTTTCTTTCTTCCTTTCTTTCCTTCTTTCTTTCAGTTATATTATTCTTTCTTTCTTTTTTCTTTCTTTTATTCTTTCAGTTATGTTTCTTTCTTTCTTTCTTTCTTTCTTTCTTTCTTTCTTTCTTGCTTGCTTTCTTTCTTTCTTTCTTTCTTGCTTGCTTTCTTTCTTTCTTTCTTTCTTTCTTTCAGTTATGTTATTCTTTCTTTTTTCTTTCTTTTATTCTTTCAGTTATGTTATGTTTCTTTCTTTCTTTCTTTCTTTCTTTCTTTCTTTCTTTCTTTCTTTCTTTCTTTCAGCTGTTATGCTTTCTTTCGTTCTTTCTTTCTTTCAGTTATGTTATGCTTGCTTTCTTTGATTCTTTTGTGATTTCAACTCCGACGCTCTTTTTTTTCTTCTTTTATTCCCTTTTAATTTTTATCATCCACCATTCTGTTCTTCTTACCAACACTCTCATTCACTTTTTCCTCCTCCTCCTCCTCCCCATCCTCACCTCCCCCCTCATCCCCTCCCACTCCTACTCCCTCTTCTTCTTCTTCTTCTTCTTCTTCTTCTTCTTCATACCTTCTACATATTTTCTTCCTTTGACTCTGCCACTCACATTTGCAAAAAAATTGGAACATGAGAACAACTGAAAATAAAATCCATACTGAGGCATTCTTCACGTTATACTCGTAACCTAAACTTTGACCTTTGACTTAAACTGAAAGGGCAAAATATTGTGCAATACTATAACAAATGTAAAAAAAATAAAAGTGGTAAAATTTGTCCCGTTCTCCGTGCAGAACGCTTAGGTTATTTCACGAAAATTACCTCAGAAGTTTGTGAATCGAACCTCTCCTGTATATGGTCCCATTACCTGTCATCATTGTGTAAATTCTTTTTTGTGTCAACACGAGCAGAATAAGACAGAATTTGAGCGAATTTAAGCAGGTTTGATATAATAAATCCCAACGAACAAGCCTAATTTTTTTTTTTAAATTCAGAAATCCAGTCAAATAAATAATAAATAGAAAGAGTGAATCCAAACTTCTAAAAACGTCTTACAGTCAATAGAACTATGTTATAATTAATTTCCCTTTTGGGGAACCAGTTGTAATGCCACATGTACCATCTTAACGACTAATCATACGTAAGTGTTAAAAATAAATTTGGGGTACCTTGCCATATCTTAATTTTGGCCCAGCGTACACAGTGGATGAGAAGAAAAATAGCTCTCCTCTCCATGACAATATAAGTATGAATAAAGTAAGAATAACATACGACAAACAGTTTGGAACTCGCTTGGTCTTTTCTACACACCCTATCGCGACCAGCTAACATTGCACCAAGCGATTATTACTTTTTTTTATCATTGCATAATGATTTGATAGGGAAAACATTCCCCAATAAAAAAACAATCAGATTCAAGATTTCGTCTAAGAATCTTTCACATCAAAACCTGATGAATTTTACTCAAAATGTAGCGGAGAGTTGCCTGATAATTGGCAACAATAGCCTGCAAATAATATAGAATTGAATAAAATGTAATTGCTCTTAATTCTTTTGAAGAATGAAGATAAACAAAAACGGAAATTATTTGACTCAGTTCCAAGCACATGCATATATTCTAAATAGTTTCTGTCAAAGGTTAAATACGTATTATTATTCTGCAAGAAATAATTTAGATGATGTTCTTTTGTGGAATACTTTGAGGAACTGTCTATGTTATAGAATATCTCTTTTTATGTTGTCGTTTTTTTTCTTCTTCTACACTTTATTCCTTGTTCTTCCATTTTGTCAGGCAATTAGCGACCATTTTGGACAAGAGAAAAAACAGGAAATCCGGTAATGGTGGAAGCCGGCGTCCGGATTCGAACTTATCCTATTTGTTCATACAATAGTTCTTTGCTTAGCACGATTTCGAGAGGACGAAACAAGAAAGTAAAAAGGAGAGAGGGAGGGAGGAGAGAGAGAGTGAGAGAGAGAGAGAGAGAGAGCAAGAAATGAAATATGCTGCGGTGCTATAATATATATATATATATATATATATATATATATATATATATATATATATAGAGAGAGAGAGAGAGAGAGAGAGAGAAACAAACAAACAAAAGAATGTGAGGGTGTTGAAAGAAAGAAAGAAAGAAAGAAAGAATGAGAAGGTTTCAAAAAAGATAGAAAGAAAAGTATATGTGGAAATAAAGAAAGAAAGGAAGAAAAAAGAAAGAAAGAAAGAAAGAAAGAATGAGAAGGTTTAAAAAAAAGGTAGAAAGAAAAGTATATGAGGAAATAAAGAAAGGAAGAAAGAATGAGTGAAAGGTGTTAAAAATCAAAGAAAAGTATTTAATGGTTTTGAAACAAAGAAAGAAAAGTCTGTGAAATGGACAAAAGAAAGAACATTAGAGAAATACAGAAAGAAAAGTACGTGAGAGTGTAATTAGAAAGAAAAGTAAAGGGAAATAAGGCAGAAAAGAAAAAATGAAAATAAAGAAAAAGAAAAAGAAATGGAAAAAGTTATAAATGAAAAGGAAAATACAAAAAGATCCCGAAAGAAATATTGACCACAAGAATATAAAAATCCAGCCAAATGAAAGAAGCGAAAATGTTGAAAGCCAGAAAATGAATCTCTTAAAGCGTTTCTTTAAAATGTCGTCTGTAATTGTTGAGTTTCCTTGTAAAAAGAAAAAGGATTTGAGGTTTCCTTTAGCGACAAAATCGAAAAGAGAGATCATTATCCTCACCTTTCCAACTCAGATCTTACAATTGAAACATTTTTTGTCCAATTGAATAGCAGGAATCTGGTGACACTTTGTTTTGTTCAGTTTCCTATTATCAAGAAAAGCGCATCCCGGACGCCTGCCGTAGATCGACACATAATCAGATAATCCTTCAGGCTTAGATAAACTTGTTCTGCTCTAAGCTTGAAAAAAAGAAAAAAAGAAAAAAAAGTAACTGACGTCGCTATCAAGGCAGTTTCGCAAAGACGCAATGATATGGCATGTTGGCAATAGTGATATTAATACATTGGCTTAGTCTGGTACAAGGCCATGTACGCAAAGAACTCTGAAAGAAATTGGCATAACGCAGTCATAATTGACTGCGCAAGGCTAATATATTTACGACGGAGAAAACAAGTATTTACAAAATTTATCAAAAGGTAAATCCCAAGTGTAGGGCACTCAGTGAGAATCAAACTCACTGTTGTAATAATAAGCCGTGGGACTAGGTTATTCCACAATGAATTAAATTTTTTCTTATTGACTATGTCTGGTACAAGAACAATAGTATAGAACAGGGATCAGCAATATAGGCACGCGTGCCACACGTGGCACGCCAAGCAATTTCCAATGGCACGCAGCCACAAATAACATCATAAAGTCTGAAGTAATAACTACTACAACGCAAAGAATCCATTTAGCTGTTTTAATTTTAATATATATTAAAATATATATACTATATATTACTATATAAAATATACTGTTGAACCTTCACTTGTATAAAAAAATATGTATGCTGTGGCGCACTGAATGATTTTAAAACCCTAAGTCGGTACATAGTCAGCCAAAAGTTGCCGACTCCTGGCTTATACGGTCTTGTAGGCGATGACGTATTTTCCATTCGACTACTCGCACATAAAAAATGAATAGAAAAGTTGGAATAAATATCTTCGAATACTAGAAGAAGATTTGAGTAAACGCAAGAAAATCAAAGAAAAAGAAAATAAAAGAAACGAGAGTTAACATCAGACACTTTATTAAATGTATAACTACGTCGTCATTCTCCATAGTAATATAAACCACCTTCCGAAAGTGTACAATCAAAGAATTCAGGACTATTACTTAGAGCAAAGGTCAGCAACCTACGACACTTCAAGCACATTCCAATGGCACACAGCCGCAAATGATATCACGAAGTCCAAAACAATAACTAATACAACACAAAGAAGATATTTAGCTGTTTTAATTTTAATATATACTAAAGTATATATACTGTATATAACTATATAAAATATATTGTAGAACATGGACATTGACCATGACTTGTATAAAAATACGTATACCGTTGACGCACTGAATGATTTTAAAACCTTAAGTCGGCATATAGTCAGCAAAGGGTTGCCGCTCTCTGGTCTAGTGCATAAAGGTGTTGATTCAAGTATTTGTGGACATCGTAACTGTGAGTTCAAACTCTTGGATACCTTGCTTATACAATAAGTATATTGATCAGCCAGTCATCTAAATTATAAGCTGGTTCAGTTTGACTTCAACCACTGAACCTCAAGATTTTTATGTATTAATTTCACATATATAATTTAAATCAGGGGTCGGCTACACACGACACGCGTACCACACGTGGCACGCCAAGCAATTTCCAATGGCACGCAGCCGAAAATGACATCACGAAGTTCAAACCAATAACTACTACAATTCATGAGGCAGCCATTTTCCAAGTTCAGGAACTTTTCCAAGTTGTTGAAGATGACGATGAACAGTTGTATGGTTTGAACTGAGAACCACTGCCAATTCCTCAACTGATAAAGCAGGATTTTCTTCAAGAGCTGCTTCAAGAAGCTTTTCATCATACTCAACTGGACGTCCGGTTCGATCTTCATCTTCAAGAGTGAAATCTCCACCTCTGAATTTTGTAAACCATCTTCTGCAAGTTCTTTCATTCACACATTCCTCTCCATAAACTGAGTGAATGTTTCTAGCCGCTTCGCCTGCTGAGTTTCCTTTCTTGAACTCATAAAGCATTATGTGCCTCAAATGATTCTTGGGTACTTCCATGTTAGCAGGGTTTTAATCAAACAAAATTTAATTTTATTGTTCTCTGAAATAAAATTTGATCATTTTAAATGCATCTAAACATAAAAATAATATTCAGCTCCATTAGACATTATAAAATACTCTTTAAATTTCGTTCATTTTAACAAAAAGTTAAAATTCGGACAGAACTTATGGGATGACCTGATATTACGACTGAGTAGTGAGTTCGATTCTCATTGGGTGCTCTACATTCTAGGCCTTGTGCCACATCTAAACTACGCTTAGAAAATCATTTGGGCACCTCGTGGTACAGTAAGCCTTTGTGTCTTAGTGTCTTTACTACCTTCCATGGGGTGAATTTGATAAAAAAATTTCATGCTTATACGTTTCATGCTAAAAAGAGAAATAAATAGAAATGATGTAATCAAGCTGGTAGCTTTCCACACAACTAAAAACACAAGGTTTGGAAGGAAATTAGTACTAGAAAGATCGATAAGTGTTAGTGGAGTTTTGAAGTTTAATTTCCTGAAAAAAATTTCAGGAGATAAAATTTATAAAATTCAACCGACTATAATGCTAAATGTTTGGACAATGAATGATAATATTTCCTGTATAGAAACGGCTATCCTCACCATTACTATCGCCAAATTCATGTGTGTGTGTGAATAAGAATGAGTCCCTAAGCAAGAGGTTAATGGGAATTAAACATCTGCCTTGATATGTATATTTCAAGACTGTGTCAAGAACGTATTCCCGATTTAGTTATTAGTAACACATACAGTAATCCTCTGGCGACTAAGAACCATGTGATTACAACGAAGGATTGCAATGAATTTGCTGAATTGAAAATCCGTGATTAATGGCCGAATTCACTTGGTACAAGA